ACTAACACTGTTTCTTTTTTACAATTTGTAATTCAACCAATAAATTTGTAAAATCTCTTTAAAAATCACACACACAAACTTCTGACTTACCAGAGATTTGGTTTCTTTGTTTTATACCCTTTTTTCGGTTTCGCTCTGGGAAGCAAATCCAAATTTCATTGTACTTTGATACATTGACAATAAAGGTCTATTCTATTCTAAGACGTTTGACTGTCCTCTGGTAGAATGTGAATTTCTGCAAGTTTTTCTCTTTTACGTGAACAACTTGTTAATTATTTCTTTCCAAAGAATAAATTAACCTAAAGCTTTTACTTATGACTTGTAATTGGTCCATAAAAATTCCCATGTTATCATCCTCTTTCCTTTACAAACACAAAGCACAAAAACTCTTTATTTTATGTGAACAATGGAAAATGGATGAACTGAATATCTACAGACAAAAGTACTGAAGGTTTATTTTATGAGAATAGTGGCAAATACATCAAAAAACACCTTCATAAAATAAAAGACCAACAGGAGCTCTATTGCAAAAAAAAAAAAACATTGCTCAGTTTTAACTCAAAATCATAATAAAAATTTTGATATACATGCACAAAACAAGCAAACAAAAAAACAAACATTTTAGGATCAATGCTTATGAATTTATGCAATGAACTCCGTTGCTTTTATTAAAGCAGTTTAAGCATGTAACTTTCAATGAAAACACAAACACATTTACAACTGTCAAATAAAACCCAAGTTTGAGACAGTCTTTTTGTGAAATATGAACTGTGGCTGTTTCATTGGTTTCTTCTATAGAAAACTTGTTACTTCATTGAGAATTTTGTTGATAGTCCTATGTCCTTTTATATAAGGACTGTCATGTGTCTTTACAATATGGGAGAGAGGTTTTTAAAAATTCCTTTTAAAATATAAAACCTTTTTTTTCGTCTTTCGGCTTCTCTCTTCTTCAGGGGTCGCCACAGCGAACTAAGTCACATGAAGACTTGGCAATAATATTTACTTCAGATGCCCTTCCTGACACAACCACAGACCACTGAGCTACCACAGCCTGTGGAGCAGAGAGCTGCTATCAAGGACACTTGGGGGAGCAGATGGTAGGGGTTAAAGGCCTTGTTTAAGGGTCCAGAGTGGGGTAAATGAGGGTGGAGGCAGATGTCGGTGCTTCACCTATCCCACCCACATTTTGATGTTGTTGGTATCGGGTGTTGAATCAGCAATCTTCCGATCATTGGCCCACCTTCTCTAACCTCTGCACCACCACTCCCCTCAATAATAATAATAAAAACAAAGAACTAAAATTAACGTGATGCTTATTGGACTGAGGACCAGTCCAGAATATTTCCAGCCTCTCATTTTTCACTGTGTAGATGAGCACCCTGACACCCGACCCCCACTGAGAATATAGAAGGTGGGGTATCTGGACCAACCCTCACTGAGACACTGGAAGGTGGGGCATCTGGACCAACCATCACTGAGACATAGGGAGGTGGGGTGTCTGGACCAACCATCACTGAGACATTGGGAGGTGGGGCGTCTGGACCAACCATCACTGAGATTCCTTAGATAGAGAACTTTACTAATTGGCTTTTATGTATGTGAATGTTCCTGTAAAGTGCCCTGAGACAACTTTGTTGTGATTTGGCGCTATATAAATAAACTGAATTGAATTGAATTGAGACGTTGGGAGGTGGGGCGTCTGGACCAACCATCACTGAGACATTGGGAGGTGGGGTATTGTGGCTGTCATCCACCGAGACTGAGAGCAGGTGTCTCTAGAGGCTCAGCCTTACTGGGCTGAGTGGGAAACATTGAAAGTGCAGGAGGTGTCGGCAGAAGTTCAGTGGCTCAGTTCTAGGTCCAGCTTTAGCCCCTCCTGTGGCAGCAGTGTAAGCTAGGAACAGGAGCAAACCAGATATCTTGCTCCTGCTCAGCTTCTTCCTCAAATGACCACTGGAAAAGCAGGTGTGACAAGCACAGCGGCGGAGAAGAGGAAAAACTGTGCTTGAAAGCCAGGAGGCTGAGACCTCCCTGTCTCCTTTTCCTCCACTAGAAGAGGGAGGGTAGAATTTCCACCTTTGGGCTGCGGTGTCCATGTCTCTCCAGACAGGTTTGGTACAGAACCCGTTCCACCAGATGATAGACTCTTCCTTCTGCGCTCGCTCCCACCTGACCGTCCGAGCAGCTTCTTGGGCCAGGTGCTCGGCCCAAGTCATCCACCTGCTGGGTTTGTATTTCGGTCTGGGCATACTGTCATGATCTGGAATCAGGTGGTTGAACACAGATGCAGGCAGGACTCGGAGACCATGTAGTAAAATGAAAGCATTTTAATAATACAAAATAAACAAGCTGGCATGGCAGCAGTACTCGTAAACATGTAGAAATAACAGGAACACTAGGGACACAGGAAACTTCACCAGACACTGCCCAGACAATGAATAACACACAGACGCAGACTTGTATACCGAGACTAATAAGACAAAACCACAAACACCTGGACAGGACACGCAGGTGACACGGGGAAGGTCTAATGATTTGAATGGGACACCAGGGAGTGCAAGGACAGAAACGAGCCACAAGAGGGTACCATCATCACATACACAGAGTAAACACAAAAAACATCTAACATCTGCTTCACTGTGCAGCCCTCTTACAATGTTCTTAATAATATAAATTTGTAAAGGACATTTAGGGAGCAGAACGTAATGGCACTCAGTTGGGGAAATAAAAGTGATGGTTCTTATGCAGTAAATGATTTAAAAGAACCCAAAACAATAGCCAGGTAATCAGTTTATTTCCAAGGTGCTTCCCACAGCATTAAAAAGAAATACCAAAATAATACAAAATTACATGAAATAATGAAACATAAAACACTCTTACTGTATACATCTAAAATTAAAATAAAAACTCAAATGTTTGGAAAATGCACATAGGTTTGTTCAAAAACTCAAACTAGGTCAAAGTAAAATTGTAATTGTTTCAATAAGATGCAAATGTTTAACTTTTATAATGGTTAACATCCCTGAGAGGCCGTGAAAAGTTTAAAATCCTGGGTTTTACTAATAAACATGATAAGAATGAAGAAACAAGGTCACCTAGCAGGAGTCGCCTCTGCTGTACTGAAGAATTGTTGAAGAAAACAACATTTATTTTCAAGAACTCTAACACTGTATGTTCAGCAAAATAAGACAGGTCCATTCTTTGGCTAAATCAGAGACTCGTTTCATTTGTGTTTGGCTCATTTGCAGAAGAAATCTGGCAGTTTTGTGTTTAACGACAACTCAACTCACAACTGTATGATTACTTTATTATCATTTTCCATTACATAAATTTTACTTAATTTCAATTCACATATCTTGTATCTTGTAATGTTTCATAAAAGTCTCCAACCTTTTAAAAGACTAAGATACTTTCTAATGATCAAATGGGAAGTCTTGTCTTCATTTGTCTCTTCTTGTGATTTTCACAAACACACCATTTTTGGGTCCTAGAGCACCAAAAGATTTCACCTCCAGAGGAACCTGAAAGATCACAAAAAAGTTTAAGTGAAGCAAACGGATTGACAACACTTACAGGGATTTTTTAACTTGGTTTGTGTTTATAACCAGAATGCTACTGACAGACTGAAACATTGAAAAACATTTGATCTTAGTTATGAAATAGTTGTAATTTAAAATAAGAATAGTGCATGTTGAGTACCTAAATTCTTATATGGACTAATAGTATACAGTAGTCCCTCGTTTAAGGCTCCCACATACTCGGGCATACTGTGTGTACTTCGTGAGCCGCGCGGACTCTGTGCACACTATCCCCAGACATTTGAGACTTCATACTCGAGCGTACACCCTGATGTGCTGCAGCCCAGCTACACGGGCAAGGGGCGTTGACCTTCGGGACAAATTGAGGTCGCTGATTGGTCATTTGCTGACACGACTACTTGATTGATTGACAAATCACAGCCCAGGAGCAGCGGCAGCAGTGTTCTGTGTTTATGTGTTGTTAATAAAAAGCTCTAAAAAAAAAAAACAGGGAGCGCCGGTCCTGCAGCCCACACATCAGACCGGCCCACCGGGAAATCTCAAAGCCCTCCTACAGCCACGCCGGGCCTGATTTTAATCCTCTCACGACAAATTCCTTCATTTCTCACAATTTCAGTCATGGTGTCAATGGACGAGGAGGAAGAGATTGCTTGCCTCTTGGGGAAAAAAACAAAACAAACGAAAAGGCCATTAAACCAGACCAGGGATGAAGAAGGGGAATTTAATACACTGGTGTTGCATCCAAAACAGTCCGTCGCCGGGCAGTTTATTGTGCGACACAGGGTACGCGTATGCAGTCGTAAAAATTGATCTTTGCGTGGACATGGCTTGAGGGTGTCCACTTCAAGATCGCGCTGAGCCTAATGTGGTACGCGCAGACCTTGGCGGAGTGAAGTACACACAAGTATGTGGGAGCCTTTAGAGCGGGGGATCTGTACCCTGAATCCCCGCTATATATATATATATATATATATATATATATATATATATATATATATTAGGGATGCACTGATACACTTTTTAAAATTTCGATCCGATCATGATGCCTAGAACTGAGTATCGGCCGATACTGATCCAGTTCCGATATCATGATCATCATTGATTTTATATGAGGCTGTAATAATCTCCTCTCAAGTACAATTTGTACAAATATATGCATGCATGTCCAAAAAGGCAACTTGAGGTAAGTTTAATTAATGTTGGATAAGTTTTAAAGTTAGAATTAAATTCTGCTAACACAAAACATGTTTCTTTTTATTCCTAGTTTTAAAGTGGATATTAAAGTGATTAATTTAAGTGATTGTTTAAAGTTGTTTTATATTTTATAAGGGGCAGATATAAGATTTTTTTTCTTCTTTCTGCACTCTTTTCATTCAATGTTTTCTTTTTGATGATTTTTTTTAAATTTTGTTTCATTTAAATGAATGAATAAATTAATTAAATTAAATTAAATGTTAAATGGCTTCAAACATCTGCTAAGTTCATGGCATAAACCAAAAGACAAGTTCCTGTTTTTAGTATTTTACATCACTTTATAATGTAGCTGTTTATGTTTTTAATATATATAATTTTCAAATCATGTTTTTTTATGATTGTCTACTGTTGTACTGATAAATAGCTCCTGGAGGGTAAACTATATCTTGGCTGCAAGTATCAAGCTGTGAAATCCTTCGTTTTCTACAACTGATAGTGGTTGGTCATTAATTATGATGAAGTTTAGCAACTTCTCTGTAAACATTTGAGCTCCGTGGTTTCAGCGACGTCTTCTTCTTGTTCAGTCCGAAGCAGGCAGCCTGATTTGGGGCAACCGTGCTCAGTCTGTCCCTCCTCGGAGATGGGCAGACTGAGCGGGGCAGATTGAATGCGGCTGGCCGGGGTCGAGTCGCCTCTTTCGGTTTGACCAAAGAGTACTGCCCCGCTGAAGCCACGGAGCTCGAATGTCCATCGTAAAACTAACTTTAACGTGGTTTAATGTGGCGCTATGAGTCTGCAGACATTGCACGTTGCTGTCTTGTTTTGTGGTGTTTTTAGTGTAAAATATTTCCACACAGCGGACATGTTTCAATGAAAAGTTTGTTAGCTGTTAGCCACAGTGCTGCTAACTCAGTCCTCACTATGAACTGGATTTCCTGAATGTGAGGTGGGTCTTATCACTCTGGGTTCATGAGACACGCCTCCATTCAGGAAATCCATTCCATAGTTTGAAGCCAACATGCATCATGGATCGGAAATATCGGCAGGAGGATCGGAAAATCCGATACGTAAATTATGCTGGTATCGGCCTCCGATACCGATACTGGATAGGATCTGCCCCATCCCTAATATAAATATATATATATATATATGGCTGCTCTCTGCCACCTGCCAGCACTTGGCCACGCCCACTTCTCAGCTTCAGAGTAGAGATCATGACACGCTGCAGGAGGAAGCTTCTCCCTCAGCTGTTGACTGCACACAATAGAAGGAAGAGGGTTTTTCTATATTTGTGGAATGCAGGTAGGTGCAGCAAGTGCTAAATAATTTCAAATACAGTAATTTATTTTAAAACAAAAATTCCATGCCCATTGTGCGGTTCATCCATCAATCAGCCAATTGTGTGTCATGTCCAATCTTACTTTGAAAAACCTCGATGGAGCGAGTCCGTGAAAAATGAGTCAAAGCAGCGAGTGTCTACTGTAGTATATATGCCAAGAAATCAAAATAAAAGTATAGCATTTACAACCTCAAATCAATTTAAGAAATAATTTAGTACTAACTAAACATTCAACATGAACACAAAGCAATAAAATAGAAACATGTATATCTGCAAAATGTTCTCAAACATAACATGCACTCTGAAAGCAACATGAACATTGATAACAATTGTAGTAGAAGCAAAAACCGTACTGAGCAGATCACCTTGGTCTCAGAGCAGGCGGTGATGCTGTATCGATGGAACAAATGTGCTAAAGCCATCCTGATTTCCAGCTGGGCAAGCCTCATTCCCACACAGTTCCTGGGTCCAGCTCCAAATGGCAGGTAGACGAAAGGATGACGATTAGCCTTTTCCTCTGGTGTAAACCTGAGGGTCAACCACAGGTAAGATGAGATGAGTTTTGAAAATTAATGAACAAAATAAAATCTCTGTAAAAAGTTTAGTAACTTATAACTAAGTATTGTAAAATTGAAACACCTCTCCGGGATGAACTTCTCTGGCTCCTGCCAGTACTCTGGGTCATGATGCAGGAAGCATACAGGGATATCAACCGTTACCCTTTCAGGTAGAATCTGCCCATTCAGCACACATTCATGCTCAATTTGTCGTGAAAATCTTGATAGGATTAAAAAAATAAAGTACATAGAACTTTCTTCACAGTATGGTCTTGATTAGTGTACTTTGTACATATGTTATAATTTTACTTAATCATGTCTTCTGTTTTCCATTGTAAACCATTGTTCTATACCTTAAAACAGGAGGGTAGAGTCGCAATGCTTCACAAACAACCATATCCAAGTACTTCAGCTCCTGAACATTTGTGTATTCTGGTGAATCCTACATAAACATACGGCATTGTGTTAAACATACACACAAAAAGATTTGATTGAATCAAGAAGCAGCAGACTCACATATCTTGTGAAGAACTCATCCACCTCCTCCTGTACTTTGTGCTGACATTCAGGGTGGAGCGCCAGCAGGTAGCAGGTGAAGGATAATGTGTTTCTGCTGGTGTCATAGCCTGCCAGGAGGAAGATAAAGGCCTGACCCACAATCTCATCCTCAGTTATTGTCTTTTTTTGTGCACGATTTATGAATGAGTCTTTTGCATGAGACTGGCTTTTTTCTTGCTCCGAGGCTGATGATTGTTTCTGTTGGCTTCTGGTTTTAAACTCGTCAGAGTGGTTTCCTGTGTCGAACTGCTCCAAAGACACGGCTTCTTGTCCGGTCCGAGCGTCTAACATCAGCTGAAGGAAGTCTCTACGCCTCTGGCAAATATTTTTTCATTGTAAAATTATCAGATGATGTACAATTCAGGAAGCTGAGTATGAACAAAAATTTGAAAGTATAAAGTCTGACTTTTACCTGATCAGGAGGCTGTTCATCTCTCTGCTTTATGATTGTCTGAATACTGCTGATGAAGATTTTATCCATCTGCTCTCTCTTCGTGTTTGGAATAAATCTTGCAAAAGGAGCCATGACAGCAGGAAAAAGAACTGCTCATGCAACAACAACAAAAATAACTTTTTTAAATGTATGCTTTCATGTCTTGGAAAGGTTGAATGAATTGTCATCACAGTTTTCAGTGTTATGTGATTCTATTTGCTCGTTTTTTTTTTTAAATTGTCCAACTAAAAATATTATTTTTTGTAATGTTATATAACATACAGAAAAACAACGTGAGCGGTCTGAAGAAAGTCAAGGAAAAGAACATCTGAGCGAGGCGGACAAATGGATTATCTGGGTTGTTCTGGGAATCCACTTCAGTGGCAAAAGCCACACTGGCAATAACATCCAAGGTAAAGTGACCAAAGCACCTAAAAAAGAAGAAACAAATGAAATGAACAAAACGTAAGAACCAAAAAATATCAGACTATTTTCACTGTTTTTGATTACTTGTGGATGTCAAAGACTTTTCCTGAGTCAGCATGGGTGCTCAAGTTGTTCATCAATGAATCTGTGGCTGTGTTGATGAGAGGAGCCATCTACAAACGATAGAAAGATGAAAACACTGGCTGGTATTTCTAATCTCTCCAAGTTTTTACAAGAAACCTGTCCCACCAAAAAAGCTTTAATGCAGGCCTATTCAACCTCACTTTGAAATGTGCCATATAAACATAAGTGACTGGGCATTTGTGGGTCAGATGCAATGGAATTTTATCAACCACATTTAAATTAAGGGCAGAAAACATGTTCCCTTTCAGTCAGTACACTTGTTACAAAACACAATAGTATAGGGATTGCTTCATCATGAGACCAACCTGAAGAAGTTTCTTTCTAAACACCTGTCAAGGTCAATGAGACTGCAGCATACACAGGAGGCCCTGCCCTCCTAGGCTATGCAGCGTGGTTTCATTTCCCTAATCTTTTTGCACTTCACCTAGCTTTAACCTGATTGCAGGTCCTTTGTATGTGGCTTAACTGTCTGACTGGAGGTGAGCTTGCTCCCTGCCCAAGGCGATGCTAAAAAGTTTGATCCTGCTTGCTGCTCATTTAGCCTGCTAACGTGCAGCATCTGCTTACTCTGTTAAGCCAAGCTAATGGTCACTTTTCTGTCTTGCTGACTTCTAGCCTGTCTAGCTTGCTAACTGTCTAAGTTTGCTCTTTAGCTTGCTAATGAGAGGAGCGCGTTTGAACAGCACAAGCAGACAAGTGTGTACAGCAGCTAACTTTCTGCCTGTTTAGTTTGCTAACTGGCAATCTACTCTTTTTCTCCATCACCTACATGGTGCCAGAGAGGAGCAAGATCAGAGCAGGTCTTCCCGCCTTGCTGACAAAGCTAACCTTCCTGGCTGAGCTAGCAAGGCGGGAAGCCCTGATTCACATCCATGTCTGAGTGTTTGTGGATTTTTTTTTCTCTCAGAGTCGGACACCCACTATGCTTGCCCAGTGTGTCTCGGCACACTGCATGCTAAGGCTGCTCATGCTAACCCAGAGTAAGATATGCATTGTAGCCGACTCCACAAGTTGACCCTGTAGTCGGATTCCTGACGAGCCTGAAATTTAACTACAGGGACAAGAAAGCCGCTGCGGTCTGAGACTCTCAAACCAACAGTAGAGTAGGGATGGGGCTGATCCGATCCAGTATCAGTATCGGCCTCCGATACCAGCATAATTTACGTATCGGATTTTTCCGATCCACCTGCTGATATTTCCGATCCATGATGCATGTTGGCTCCAAACTACGGAATGGATTTCCTGCGTGTCTCATGAACCCAGGGTGATAAGACATTCAGGAAATCCAGTTCATAGTTTGCAGCCAGCTACAACGTGAGGACTGAGTTAACAGTACTGTGGCTAACAGCTAACAAACTTTTCATTGAAACATGTCCGCTGTGTGGAAGTATTTTACACTAGAAACACCACAAAACAAGACAGCATCGTGCATTGTCTGCAGAGCCATAGCGCCACATTAAACCGCGGTAAAGTTAGTTTTACATTGGACATTCGAGCTCCGGGGCTTCAGCGGGCACTGCTCTTTGCTCAACCGGAAAGAGGCGACTCGACCCCGGCCAGCCGCGTCCAATCTGCCCCGCTCAGTCTGCCCATCTCCGAGGAGGGACAGACTGAGTGCAGCTACCCCAAATCAGGCTGCTTGCTTCGGATTGAACAAGAAGAAGACAATCTCTGGAACCATGGAGCTCAAATGTTTACAGAGAAGTTGCTAAACTTCATCATAATTAATGATCAACCACTATCAGTTGTAGAAAACGAAGGATTTCACAGCTTGATACTTGCATCCAAGACATAGTTTACCCTCCAGGAGATATTTATCAGTACAACAGTAAACAATCATAAAAAAACATCCATCCATCCATCCATCCATTTTCTTTGCCCGCTTATTCCATTTTGGGTCACGGGGGTCGCTGGTGCCCATGTCCAGCAATCACTGTGCGAGGGGCGGGGTACACCCTGGACGGGTCGCAAGTCCATCACAGGGCAACATAGAGACAAACGAGACAAACAACCATTCACTCTCTCACTCACACCTAGGGACAATTTAGAGTTACCAATCAGCCTAACATGCATGTTTTTGGACTGTGGGAGGAAACCGGAGCACCCGGAGAAAACCCACGCATGCACGTAGAGAACATGCAAACTCCACCCAGAAAGGCCCCTGGACCGGGGTTTGAACCAGGGACCTGCTCGCTGAGAGGCAGCAGCTCTACCAGTTGCGCCACCGTGCTGCCATATAAAAAAAAAAAAAAAAAAAAACAAACATATGATTTGAAAATTATATTAAAAACGAATACAGCTACATTATAAAGTGATGTAAAATACTAAAAATGGGAACATGTCTGTTGGTTTATGCCATGAACTTAGCAGGTGTTTGAAGCCATTTAACATTTAATTTAATTAATTAATTTAAAAGAAACAAAATAAAAAAAAATAATGAAAAAGATAACATTGAATGAAAAGAGTGCAAAAAGAAGAAAAAAAAATTATATCTGCCCCTTATAAAATATAAAACTACTTTAAACAATCACTTAAATTAATCACGTTAATATCCACTTTAAAACTAGGAATAAAAATAAACAAGTTTTGTGTTAGCAGAATTTAATTCTAACTATAAAACTTATCCAAAATTAATAAAACTTACCTCAAGTTGCCTTTTTGGACATGCATGCATATATTTGTACAAATTATACTTGAGAGGAGATTATTGCAGCCTCATATAAAATCAATGATGATCATGATATCGGAACTGGATCAGTATCGGCTGATATTCAGACTTAGGTATCGGGATTGGATCAGAAGTTAAAAAAGGTGGATCGGTGCATCCCTACTGTAGAGTTGGAGTCGTATGAAAGGAGAACCTGCTCAACATGCAGACTCAGCTGCTGGCGGATGAATATACCTGTCGAAGTGACCAGATACACCTGTTGAAGCGGACGGATACACTTGTCGAAGCGGACGGATACACTTGTCGAAGCGAACAGATACACCTGTCGAAGCAAATGGATATACCTGTCGAAGCGGACGGATACACCTGTTGAAGCGGACAGATACACTTGTCGAAGCGGACAGATATACCTGTTGAAGCGGACAAATATACCTGTTGAAGCGGACAGATACACTTGTTGAAGCGGACAGATACACTTGCTGAAGTGAACGGCTACACCTGTCGAAGCGGACGGATACACCTGTCGAAGCGGACAGATACACCTGTCGAAGCGGACAGATACACTTGTCGAAGCGGACGGATACACCTGTCGAAGCAGACGGATACACCTGTCGAAGCGATGGATACACCTGTCAAAGCGGACGGATACACCTGTCAAAGCGAACGGATACACTCCATCCCTGTTCGAACTGTGCTGTAGAGCAGCAAAGTGTCTCAGTGAGCGGGACTCACTCCTCCACCTTGACCACTTCAGACGGGCAATTATTTTCTCCTGAAACAACAGACCTTGGTGAGTCATAAGCTACCTGTTTTTCCGGAACTTTTTAACAGAGCTAACATGATCCTGGGCGTCCCCTAAGGCTCCATTATCTCTACTTTTCTGCCGATTTTGGATTTGGAGTACTTGGAACCAGCAGGTGTGTCACACATCTCATCCATGGATGAAACAATGGCGGCCCATTTGACACCCAAACTGAAACTAGTACTCCTCAGCAGATAGTGTCAGCTTCTCTGCGACACAGTTGAAGAAAATCTACCATGCACAGTGTCTCACCGTGTGCATGTCCAATAAGGCAAAAAGAGTAGCCGCTGCAGGAGGCAGTGCAGACAGACAAGCTTTGGAGAAGATTTGGAACCGCTGTGATCAGAGAAGTTATTGTTTTTCTCAACAGCATGTTTGTCAACCTTCCACGCATATACAGTCTGCTTTGGAGTCAAATGCAGAGACCCCAGCAGTCACAGAAGTGTGCCTCCATGTCAACTCGGCGCACAAAAGAGGCCACCACCGGAAACCGAATCACAGCAGCCGCCGTTCACTGCGGGTCAGCGAGGGCATTTGCAACCTGCAGCTGCATCAAAATCCTCATCAACAGTGAAAACAGCAGTCAACTTAGCTCTGCGGCTGTTTTTTAATCAGTAAGTTTCAAACTCGAAGCCTTTCCACCCTCAGAGCAAAAGGAGAGCTTCTTATGTATAGTTAGCTTCAGAGTCAAAAAGATCTTTATTAAATCAAACTAAAGGTGCCCAAGCACATAAACATTTCTCATTACCCTGCTCTTCGTGCAATAAGAGGTAAATATTATCCTCAAGCACCAGAAATAATACAAACATGTATTGGCACTGTTTTGCCTTGAAGAGTCCCTCCACCCACAGGGCAAAAAGGAGAAAGATTCAGTCTGCTTCAGAGTCAAAAATAAATAAATGAAATAAAAATACCTGAATAAGTAGACAAATGTCTATGTACACACATTTCTCATTCCCTGTTTGTGCAATAAAAGGAAAATGTTATCCTCAAGCACTCGTTCTTTTTCTACAATCAAAGAATATTTATTTGCTATTTCTGCTTGTCATAATGGATGAGAAGGAAAATCTGCTGGCTCCCATTCTCTTGTGGTATGGTTCATAAAAAGGAACGCTTCGATAAAGGCCACCACGCAAAACACTTGCGCTACAGTGGGACCTGTTGCTGGATTTAGATGCACCTTTTGAGTCTTTAGAGGAGATAATATGAATATGCTGTCCTATAAAACAGCACTTCGTCTGACTCTGTGCACAGCAAAATGTGTGAATGACATCCATGTACTTTCAGTTCACCATTTGTGTACCCAATTTGCATATGATGGTTCCAAAGTGACCTTACGGCCCAACCCAGCCTATGTCCCTAAAGGGCCATCTTTATCTTATAGGAGACTTTCTTTTGAATTGTCAGCTTTCCCACTGCCACCTGTGTTAACTGCAGAGCAGAGGTGTATAAACGCTCTGCCCAGTGCGTGCACTACACATTTGTACTGAACGGACACAAAACTGGCGCAAAACTGATCAGCTCTTTGTGTGCTTTGCTAGCCCTGTGGCAGGAAAAGCTCTGACTAAACAACGCCTCGCTCACTGGGTTGTAGAAGCTATTTCTCGATCTTATATCAGTAAGGGTAACATGCATCCAACAGCGTGCATGCGCACTCAACCAGAGGTATGGCCACTTCGTGGGCATTGTTTAAATGAATCTCAGTGGCAGACGTATGTTCTGCCGCCAACTGGGCATCTCCTCTTACATTCATAAAATTTTACAGCTCAGATGTAACAACCTGTGACGTCACCCAAGTTGTTCTTTAGCACAGGAGAGATGAGTATCCTCCCACTTGTCAGGACTTTGTTGTCAAAGTTTTTTCTGCATATGCATTTTTGGGACGTAATGGTAGAACCCCACACTACTGTGTTGTACCGAGTGTACTGACCAAAAGGGAACTGGATGTATGAATATAACCAATGTTCCCTGAGGGAGGGAAATGAGGTACAACACAAGTCAGCCCATCAAATCTCTAGAAGCTTGATAAAATACATGGCAGATTAGGGAAATGAGACTACACTGCATATTTTTTAACCTAAGAGGGCGGGGACTCCTGGGTAAGCAGCAGTCTCATTGGCCTTGGCAGCGGTGTTGAAAGAAACTTCTTCAGGTTGGTCTGAGAGTGTGTTCAGGGTGCAATCCCCATACTATTGTGTTGTACCTCGTTTCCTTCATTCAGTGAAAATTGGTTATATTCATAACTTACAGATTTCTCTAACAGTGATTAGGATAAAAGTGTCACATCACATTTGTTTGTTTAATGTCCAGGCTTCTTAGCAAATGTTATCTCAAACTTAGTGAAAGAAGAAGTCCAGTATATTTTTACTTTATGAATGGGAACTATAATGTCTCACTTCTTTCAACTTGGCAGCACTGAAAGTTGGGGTAACGACACTTCGAACTTTTTTCCATCTTTCATTTCTCAACAAGAGCAGACAGTCCTCCATTGGCTTGGTGCTATAGCCAAACTTGTACATGAAAAACAGAAAAGTGCATCAAAGCTTTTGTACAAATTATAGGAAAATCTTATTAGAAATGCCATCGAACTTAAATTGAAGTTTTTACCGATCTATTAGGGAAGCTACTGAAGTCCTTGACCAGCACTTGTCTGAGCAAATCAGGGTCTGCTATCAGCACTGTTGGTTTACGGCCAAAATAATACCTAATGCAATATTTAAACGTCAAAAGAAACACAGTCAGCTCAAATCTCAAGTAAACAGCTAAAACATGCCAAATTTTGATTCTAGACTTAGGAAAATGTTAACTGACAACAAGTGTCAAGCTTGAACCTAATAAATGCAGGTTAAAAACAAGAAATTCCACTTACCCACTAACTCTGCCATGTGTTTTTATAATATCAGGCAAAGCCTTGAAATACCCCTGCAACAGAGAAAATTAAAAGTCTATATATATATATATATATGTATATATATATATATATATGTATATATATATGTATGTATATATATATATATGTATATGTATGTATGTGTATATATATATGTATGTATATGTATGTATGTATATTTATATATATGTATATGTATGTATGTACATATATATATGTATGTATATGTATGTATGTATATTTATATATATGTTTATGTATGTATGTATGTACATATATATATATATGTATATATGTATGTATATATATATATATGTATTTGTATATATATGTATATATATAAATAAATAAAAACATGTGTTTATATGTATAGTTACAGTACAACATCAATCCACTTCATTGAGTTTGCATATGAATGCCTTTTTATGCCTGATTATAGTGAATCAGCCGGAGATTTGACTATAATTGAAAATGTGCTCTCTTTTCTGAAGTGCATCTTACCTCACGAAACATAAGCATGTTACCAAGGAATGGCACAGGCTTTGGATGTTTGATTCCACATCGAGAGAGGACTGAGAACGGATAAACTGAATACCTAAACGGAGGGGAAAAAAGATGTGTTTTAATCAAGGGAATAAATACAAATACTGATTTGTATTTTTAATCAGACTGACATAATCTGGTATATTTCCACTGCAGAAACATCAGCAAAAAATCAAAATAAAAACTGACTTTGACTTACCAGTAAAGCAGACCCAGAAAAATGAGAAAGAGGCTGAGTGTCATGTTCATTCTGCTGGCCTCAATGTTGAACACATTTAGAAAGTCACCCACTGTCTCCATGATTAAAAACCACTTCTCAGTTTTTTACTCAAAATTAGAAGATTCCTGTGCCCAAAGAACAATAATTAATGCTACTAACACTGTTTCTTTTTTACAATTTGTAATTCAACCAATAAATTTTTAAAATCTCATTAAAAATCACACAGAAACTTTTGACTTACCAGAGATTTGGTTTCTTTGTTTTATACCCTTTTTTTTTGTTTCGCTCTGGGAAGCAAATCCAAATTTCATTGTACTTTGAAGCAATGACAATAAATGTCTATTGTATTCTAAGACGTTTGACCGTCTCCTGGTAGAATGTGAGTTTCTGCAGGTTTTTCTCCTTTACGTGAGCAACTTGTTAATTATTTATTTCCAGAGAATAAATTAGCGTAAAGCTTTTACCTATAACTTGTAATTGGTCCATAAAAATTCCCATGTTATCATCCCCTTTTCTTTATAAACACAAAGCACAAAAACTCTTTATTTTATGTGAACAATGGAAAATGGATGGACTGAATATCTACAGACAAAAGTACTGAAGGTTTATTTTATGAGAATAGTGGCAAATACATCAAAAGCACCTTCATAAAATAAAAGACCAACAGGAGCTCAATTGCAAAAAAACATTGCTCAGTTTTAACTCAAAATCATAATAAACATTTTGGTATACATGCACAAAACAAAACAATTTTTAGGATGAATGCTTATGAATTTATGCAACAAACTCCTTTTCTTTTATTAAAGCTGTTTAGAATGTAACTTTCAATGAAAAAACAAACACATTTACAACTGTCTTAAATAAAACCCAAGTTTGAGATAGTCTTTTTGTGAAATATGCACTTGGGCTGTTTCTTTGTTTTCTTCTATAGAAAACTTTTTACATCTTAGTGAATGTAGTTTATAGTCCTAAATCCTTATATATAAGACTGCCATGTGTTTTTGTAATAGAGAGGTTATAAAAATGTTTGTAATAATAATAATAATAATAATAATAAAGAACTAAAATTAATTTGATGCTTAATGGACTGAGGACCTGTCCAGAATGTTTCCAGCCTCTTTCTTTCACTGGGTAGATAAGCACCTGTCATCTTGCTACCCCGAACAGAAATAATTAAAAATCACCTGTTCATCACAGGGCCTGTTGCAGAGACACATACAAAAATACACACACACTAACCCCCTAAGGTCAATCAAAAATTGCTATTTAATTTTACATGCATGTTTTTGGACAGTGGAAATAAACACATACACACTTTTGATTGGAGCATGCTAACTCCACACAGAGGTGAAAAAAATCATCTATGCTTCACTGTGTCGCCCTCTTTCAATGTTCTTAATATAATTTCATAAGCAGCACACAGGGAGCAGAGTGTAATGAAAGACAGCTGGTGAAATAAAAGTGATCGTTCTTATGTAGTAAACGCATTAAAAGTACCGGTACGCACAACAATAGCCAAGTAATCAGTTTATTTTCAAAATGCTTCCCACATTAGAAGTTTTAAAATATATATATATATATATATATATATTTGAAATCATGAAAAGTAAATCACTCTTGTATACATCTAAAGTTAAAACAGAAACTCAAATGTTTGGAAAATGGATATAGGTTTGTACAAAAACTCAAACTAGGTCAAAGTAAATTGGTAGTTGTTTCAATAAGCTGCAAATATTTAACTTTTATAATGGTTAACATCCCTGAGAGGCCATGGAAAGTTTTAAATCCTGGGTTTTACTCATAAACTTGATAAGAATAAAGAAACAAGGTCAGCTAGGAGGCGTCTCCTCTGCTCTACTGAAGAATTGTTGAAGAAACATTTCTTTTCAAGAACTACAACTATTTATGTTCAGCAAAATACGACGGGTTCATTCTTTGGCAAAATCATCAACTCTTTTCATTTGTGTTTGTCTCATTTGCAGAAGAAATATGACAGTTTTATGTTTAATGACAAATCACTAAACTCACAGCTGACTAACTCTTATCATTTTCCATCACAGAAATGTTACTTCATCTCAAATCACATATTCCCTTACAAGACATCTTGTAATATTTCATATACGTCTCCAACATTTTCAGAGACTGAGACTCTCTAATGATCAAATGGGAAGTCTTGTGTCTTCATTTGTCTCTTCTTGTGATTTTCACAAACACACCGTTTTTGGGTCCTAGAGCACCAAAAGGTTTCACCTCCAGAGGAACCTGAAAGATCACAAAAAATTTTAAGTGAAGCAAACATGTTTTGACATCATTTACAAAGATTTTTTTTTTAACGATGTTTGTGGTTATAACCAGAATTTAGCTGACATATAGAAACAATGAATAACATTTGATCTCAGTTTTGTAATAGTGTAATTTAAAACATGAATATCCATAGGCTGAATACCTAAATTACTACATGGACTAATAGTATAGTATAAGAAATCAAAATATAAGTAAAGCATGTATAACCACAAATCAAATTAGTAAATTAATGAGAGCTAAACACAACATGACAACAAAGCAATAAAAAAATAAACAATATCAGCAGAATGTCATAATAGAATTTCAATTCAGTTTATTTATGTAGCACCAAGTCACAACAGAAGTCATCTCAGGGCACTGTACAGAAACATTCATATATATATATATATATATATATATATATATATATATATATATATAAAGTAAGTTAATAAAATTAATTATCTGAGGAGCAGACTGCTTTGAGTGTAACTTCATCGAAAACTCATCTTAAGCATGAAGGCAACAGTGGAAAGGGAAAAACTCCCTCATGAGGAAGAAACCTTTAGCAGAACCAGGCTCAGGACAAGCGGCTTAAGATAGAAAAATAAATTAAAATGCAAACTATTCATTTGTAACAATTCATTTTAAGAAATTAGATAAATTTGTCCTCCAGTAGTCTAAGACTAGGACAGCATAACAAGCCAACCCTAATTATAGGATTTATAAAAAAGGAAAGTCTTAAGCCCAGTCTTAAAACTGGACAATGTGTCAGCCTCACAGACAGAAACTGGAAGTTGGTTCCACAAGAGAGGAGCCTGATAACTGAAAGATCTTCCTCCCATTCTGCTCTTGGAAACTCTAGGAACCGCAAGTAAGCCTGCAGTCTGAGAGAGAAGTGCTCTGTTGGGAAAATATGGAACAATAAGATCTGTAATATAAGATGGAGCTAGGTTGTTGAGGGCTTTGTAGGTTAGGAGTAAGATTTTGAATTCAATTCTGGACTTGACAGGGAGCCAGTGTAGAGAAGCTAAACTTGGAGAGATATAATGTACCCCACTAACTCCAGTTAAGACTCTGGCAGCAGCATTTTGGATCAACTGAAGACATTTTGTCATGTTTTGCCCTTTTCTCATGCTACAATCCATCAGTTTTCACATTTTATTTATGATCACAGTTCATCTCTGCCCATTTCACCCAACATTTTCCTTTAATCACCATTTTATTTTCCCTTGTTATTCTCAATTTGTACGCATCCTTCCTTTATGATTGTCTATTGTTGTCTTTGTTCTACTGTTGTCATCACTCTTTGTTAAAATTGGGTCTCTTGTACAAATGAGTCCCCGAGGCTCAATGGGATTAACTTATATAAATAAAGGTTGAATGAACAATAAAAGTCTGTTATGTTGAGGCAGCTGTTTCAAGCTGATCTTTGCTCCTTTATTCCAGGCAGCAGCAGTTACTATATGAGACAGCATGCAAGTCCTTCTGGGCCTTTTCATTCTTCTATGTCTTTGTTTTTAACACAGACATTTACTATTTGCTAAACAGACTGCTTGCTAACATGTAAATTTTAAAAGCAAATTACTCTTACTGTGGACAATTTAAGTTCAAATGTGTTTTTGTCATCTCAGATTGCACCCAAATGTTGCAAAATAATCAAAGTAGGTCAGAAAATCCTCAATTGAGAAATTGCTTCAAAAAGGCACAAATGCTTAACTTTAATAATGATTAACATCAGTTAGCCTGGCTTTGAACCCTGTCTTAGAAGCAAACAAGATGAGCATGAAAAAACTGGGTCAGATAGAAAGAGTCTCGTACTATAGGAATTACATGTTGACAAACATTTTCTTTAATTTTAAAACCCTTAAAAGGAACCAGTAATAACAAGAGTTTTCACTATTTCGCAAAAAAACATGGACCTCTTGTCCTGTTAACTCGTTTGCAAAGGAAATCTGAAAACTTTATACATTTAGAATCAACCTAATTTAGCAAACTGATGTTTGCTGTTGTTTTCTTACATTATCCTATGGTTTTGTGGTCAGTCCAAAAGATAAAATATTGAATGGTGATCAATGCAATTCAATATTAGTGACCATAAATGACCCTTTTCCAGTCACAACTCTGCTAGGTTTTTCTAGCAGCTTGTCATGGATGTCATATTTCTGCAGTAGTTTTATGTATAGATCATCTTTTTTTTTTTGTTGTTAATTTACCCTTTATTTATACAGGTAGTCTCATTTAGTCAGGAGGACTCATTTTCAAGAGAGACCTGTTTTTCGGAGCAGATGGTTGGGGTTAAGGGCCTTGCTCAGGGGCCCAGAGTGGGGCAAATGAGGGTGGAGGCAGGTGTGGGTGTTTCACTTTTTCCACCCACATTTTTGATGTTGACAGTACCAGGAGTTAAACTTGCAACTTTCTGATCACAGGCCCATTTTCTCTAACCTCTACGCCACCACTCCCCGAATCTCAATCATCAATCTTATCCATCCATCTATCCATCCATCCATCCATCCATCCATCCATCCATCCATCCATCCATC